GTTAATTAGTTGCAAATTAATTTGCATTTGTGAGGTTTTCTTTTGTTTTCTAAGTTTGTAATTTCTTTTTGGGAGAGTGTGTAAGCAAGGTTTTGGGGTATAAACCTTGTGTGTCTTTGTAAGGTTACACCTTAAAGGTTTTGTAAATCTAGTGGATTTGATAAATCCTTAGTGTGGATAGCTAAGGTAGTGAATATAGACTTGGTTTAGAAGTCGAACCACTATAAATCATTGTGCAAAGTTCTAATTTTCGATTGCATCCACCATAAATTTTTAAAAGGCCAATTCACCCCCTTGGAATATTTCATTGTTCATTAGAGCTCAACATATGCCAATAGTCCTATTTGTTTTCGGTCTGACCGAATTTGGTTACTGATTTTTTAATTAAGTTCGTTTGGTTCCTTACGTTATCGATTTGTCCATTTTAAGTCCCTCGGCCGTTAATACAATTTAACTATTCACAGAACTGTCATGTGGCAATTAAATTTATTTTGGAAAAATCCACATCAATTACTCTTTTTCTTCTTTTTTTCCCTACAACTCATTCTTATTAACACTCTTACCGTTAAAAAATCACACAACCCATTCTCAATAACATCCTTACCCTTAAAATTTTTTAAAAAACCCTCGTCAACTGTGGAAACATGGGGGGTGGTCACTATACTGCATTTGTCCATGTAATGAAGACCTAACCATGAATTTTGTCAATGTTACCTTTATGTTTGTGTTTGGCATTACATACTGTGGGTTCGTTCGAGTGGAAGCTATAATACACGTGGGAGAGTGTTATTTACTAACACCATCTTCAAACTTTGCTTTCTTCTTTTTCCATTGTTGTGGACCATATATTTATTTGTATCAAGGAAACTGGTTTGTCTCCCTTTTGATTGTTTTTTTGTTACATGCATATATAAATAAGTAGTTGTTATGTGTTAATGTAGGGCAGCATATAAGTGTCTTTAGATGAAGTTGAAGCTAAAAAAAACAAATGGCAACACGATTGGATATTGCAGCGATGACGATGGTGTTGTATTTTGGGGTCTGTGAAGTTGTGAGAGAAAGGGATATGAGACGGGTGGTTAGAAGGATTATCTGACAGAAACAATCAAACCCCACTGTTGTAAAAGAAACAATTAGATTGAAGAAGCTAAGAGAGAGTTATGAGATCAGTAAGGCTTGGCCACCATTATAGTTCACAACTGAGGCTCGGTACTAGTTCACAACTGAGGCTCGGTACTGGTTCGAGGTGAAGTGGGGATAGTGACCAATCCCATGTTTCCATAGTTGACGTGGATTTTTTTTTTTAAATTTAAGGGTAAGATGTTAATGAGAATAGGCCGTGTGAGTTTTTTAAGGGTAAGGAATTGATGAGAATGGGTTGTGGGGAAAGAAGAAGGAGAAGATGATGACACGTGGGTTTTTTGGATTTATTTATTTATTTTTAATTTCCAACTCAAAATTCTGTTAATAAGTTAACGGCCAAATGACTTTAAATCAAAAGGATCGATAACGTAAGGGACCAAGCGCACTTAATTAAAAAATCGGTGACCAAATTCGATAAGACCGAAAACAAATGGGACTATTGACATAATTTACCCTTTTTACAATTCAGTAGTCATTTTTTGTATCGATACTTATAGGGGTATCGATACTTGACATAGGAGTATCGACACTGCTTGTAGGGTATTGATACTACTCGTTTTAGATGATTCAATTTACTCCGTTAAGGTCTGTAAGAATTAAGGGTGATTCGTAATAATTGGACATAGTCTGGAAGGGTTTGAAATGGCAAAAAGTGCCTAGAAACACTTTTAGGAGTGGATGAAAACCGAAGTAACAATATTAAGTACAATACGACTAAGTATCTCTAATCGAACATGTATCGAGTAGTTGAGAACAAATGAGCATTTCGAAATATGTACCAATGAGTGAGAAAATAAATGATCTAATGAAAGCAATAGAAGAAATTGAGTACCACATGAACACCTAATATTAAGAATAAGCAACTTACCATACCAGCTCAAGGGTGAACTGGTGGGAAGTGCAATGAGAGCAACTAGGAGATTGTTATCAATGAACCAAATCCCGAATAGAGTATTGGACCACTAGTAATATTCCAAGTGAGTAGAAAATATTATTAATTATCTTAGGGGAATAAAATACTAAAAGACTAATAAACTCTTGTATAATTGTAACACCCTAAACCAGAACGACACACAATTAACCAATAAGGGTGCTACATGGAACCATCAAAGTGGCTGACCAACCTTTTTCTTATTTCTCTTGCTTTAAAACGATTATTTTCTTTATAAATTCAACTATAAAAATATAATTAAAATTGTACATTGAGGAGATCCCAAAATAAATATTTACATTTAAAAATAATAATACAGACCAACTTTAAAATACATTTATGACGTAACTTTACATTATGATTTATAAATATACATGCACTTCCAAAAACTTGAGACGTACTCTGATCTGATCTTGGTATGGACCTCAGTCACTTTTCAGCAAGGAGATGATGCACTCTAACGTTCCCTTAAGGGTGAGATGCAGCTGGAGTTTCCTGAGGGGCTACAACTGGAGAAACTGGCTGAACAAGTGGGTTAGTGGGTGTATGGAAAATGACTCCACTATTCGCCTCAAGGAAGAGGTCAAATTTATAAAGAAGGCCGCTTCATCGACCCTTGCGTCTCTAGGCTCTTTATGCTCAAATTCTGGGATAAACTCATCTCCTGAATCACCAACTAAGGAAACTCTACTCTCTTCTCTATCATCTCTACTATGGCCTGGGCTTCTGTCCATCTCTAAAATCTGAGATTAAGATGAACAATGAGGAATTACTACTACTACTAATTTAGATGCAAAAGTATAACATAACTCGTTAGGAGCATATATACTCATAAACTATGAGAAAGTTATTCTAATGACCCACAATCAATATGAGAAAGTTGTGAGTGTGTTACATGGCTTTCTTGGCTGCTAGAATCTTTCTCAACTCAGCTAGGAGCCATTTTCTCTTTACCTCTAGCCTTTGAACTTTCTCCCACCTCCTTAGCTAATCCAATAAAAGTAAAGGAATTACTAACTTATCTAAGGCTTAAAACAAGGTTAAAGATACTCCAAACAACTTAAATTTACTAAAATAAACTTGAATTCTTTTATTCCCTTAACCTTCCTTAAAAACCCATTTTCTAAAACCAATACCAAAACTTGAGATTAAGGGCTTGAAATGAAGCTTAAGGGGTTAAGGTTAAGATTCTTACCTTGGTTGACTCTAACAAGGCTTGAGATTCAAAAGGCTTCCACCTTTGTGCTTACTTTAAGGAAGAAAGAAGAGAAGAGAAAATGGAAGAGTGGTTTTGGTGGGTAACTCACGTGAAAAACACCTATAAAGAGGGGTTTTATCCTTTAAAATCGACTATGGGTAAATTGCTACTTTGGTCCCTCTCTTTTAAAACTCATACTAAAGTCATCATTTGCCCTAAAATTTTGGGCTAACTGAATCCCAATACCCTTAAGAACTGATATAGGAGATCTAATGGGCTCAAATTACGGGTTTCGGATTGACCCGGAATTTAGGGTGTCACAATAACGTTCTAGGAGAGAGAAAAAAATGAAATAGTAGTGAGGGTGTGATGTCACCTATTTGTGTTGTAATTTATAATAATGACAAGATAATTATGTGATAATAATGTTATATGTGTGTTAACCATAAGAACATTATGAGGTAAGATTTCATAAGACTTGTTCCTTTGTTTGACACTCAAAAAGCGATAAGGACACTCGAGCTACTTCCATGCCTGATGATCATTTAAAGTATATGTATGTGAAATATTTGGATATATTCCCAACAGTGCTAAGACACTTTAGTATCAGTGTTAATGCATATTTTTTCTGTATCAGTACTAAGGCACTTTAGTACCAGTGTTGCGACGCTTCCGTTAATCATTGTTTTGCTATATATCATGCTTATTGCATTCTGTCATTGTTTGGTATAGCTGTTAAAGGCCCAATATATGTGTGTAACTCATGGCAAGTCTCTTAGTAGAAGACTAAGAGAAGCATGAGGCTCAAACTATAGCGATAAAATGGTTAAACCCTAGTAGGTAACATTAGATATAATCATACATGTACCTACTGCTTATTACCATGTTTCCTACCATGCTTACGTTTATGTTGAGTCATTCGCAGGTTAGTATGTTGAGTCGTTCAAGGAGCTCACAGCATGATTTCAAATATTCCTCACAGAGTATTGTTTGGTTACTAGTAGTGGACATATGTATTCATAGAACCCTTACTTATATATTATGTTTTGCATACTTTGAGTTATATTAATCAATTTAAATTGTGTCATGGAACTCCAATTTATAAAAAATGATTTTATTACTGTTTTGAACTATTGGTTTTTAAATGGTGATTAGGAGTATTGATTTCAAAATAATTGTTAGCCACTTCAGTTGTTCTATATGACATTCAAATTCTACAAACTTCGGGTCGGATCGGATTAGGGTATTACATAATTATTATTTTTGTTCTGTTTTGGTCACCTAACTATTATTTTTTTTTCAAAATTATATCTAACGTTAAGCTTTGATTTTATTTTGGTCACCCATCGTTAAAAAGTAACAAAACTACTAACATGATATTTTTTAACTTTTTTTGCAATGATGATGTGACATTACCTTACAGTGACTCGTCAACATCATCGTTAAATTTTTAACAGCGGGTAATCAAAATAAAATTAAAAGGTAATATTAGGTATGATTTTGAAATAAAAAATAGGTGGATGATCAAAACAAAACAAAAGTGATAGTTAGGGTACTAAATGTGTTGTTTACCCTAAATGTTTTTAGGGGCAGTTCTAACTTTTATCTCACATAACTGATCTCACCATGATTAGGGTTGTTAATAGCCTCACCATTAAGCCTTAAACAGCATTTGGACGTAAAAGGACAAGGAATTGAAGTTTTCTTGGGTAGAAATTCAGTTTTGTTTTATTGTGTGCGTACATACAAATTCAATCAAAAGTTCGACAAATGAAAACCCCAGCCGATAATGCAATGATAACCGAAACAACGGCCCCTCTATTTTCCTTAATAAACTTGATAGCCATCTCCAATGGACCTTCATCTCCTTCCCATTTCTTCACCATCTCCTCCGGAAAGCTCGCAACTCGGTTACCTTCCTTGCTGGCTTCATCGATGCCGCCACTGCTCCGCCGCTCGTGATCCTCATGTTTGCTTTGGTTTTCATCATGGTTAGAATAGGTCTCAGTCGGAACACTCGCTTCGCCTAAGCCATCGGCTGCATGATTTTCTTCTTCTGCAACAGATAGCTTGGGGACTGTAACGTGAAGAAATTCGCCATCGAATTTCCCATTGACCTTATCCGTATCCGAATTATCAGGCAATGGAAAGCTTTGCTCGAAATATATGGATTTGTTTTCATCAACTACTCTTTCTCCACTGATGATTATGTGACCGGTTGAAGCAAGCTCAAGCCTCAGCTGCTCCTTTTTAAAACCTTATTCAACAGCACGTAAAAAATCAATATAAATATCGAACATCACAAAATTTTATGTCAAGAAACGAATTTATAGAATTTTAATAATAGCGAAATTAAATTATCAATAAAATTATCTAAAATATATAAAAATTTGAAATCTTTAGGGGATGAACGTTACCCTCTTCGATCCGTTCCTAATATATAAATGAAAAAGAAAGATTTTGAATTGTACCAGGAAGATCAAGGAAAAGATAACTGGCCTTATCGTCATGAGTCCAATCAGAGGATGGCTCAAACTTCTGAGCTACACGATTACCAGAGCTCCTTTGATCTCCTACATTAGCCATTGATAAACTCTTTACGGGAATGCCGATAAGCAAATTTGCTGCTTGTTTTCGGGTCTAATAATTAATAAAACAATCAAGATATATAATTCTCTGTAATTTCTTGAGAAGGTACGAGGATTTATAATGGAGATTGTTTGCTTAATAATATATCCATGTAACTCTAATTTCTTGTGAATCCATAGGTGTCTTTATTCCTAGCTTCACCTATAAATCTGGACTTTGCTGTCTTCATTGCATTAGCAACCTTAGCTTCCTAGACATGATATTCTTGCACTATCGGACAAGATACGTGTTCCACAAACAACTTATATTTTTTAATTTGTTTTTACATAGTATCTAAATTATTCGGATATTTTCTTGTTATTTTAAATCAAATATTTATATATCAAAAGATATCATTCATTTAAATAAGTTTAAACTCGTGTATTCTTATATGTTGAAATAATGAGATCGACTGAATTAAGACTCAATCATTCATTTATTATAGATCATGTAATATATTTTTTATAAGTTATATGCGATAATGATTCAATTTATACTATTATAACTTTAGGTATAATTGCTATTTTAAGTAATTGATTGTTAAATTTAAATATATATATATATATATATATATATATATGATAAAATAAGAAACTCAACACATGAATTTAAAGCACATAAATAATATGGTAATTATATAGTATAATATATATATATATATATATATATATATATATGATTTTATAAAACATAAATTTGTTGAATTAATCAACAAATGGATTCTTTTTAATTCAATAAATGAGAAATAAAATTTGTGTATATATGATTATATTAATTTGTTTGTATTATAAACCTCTTAAGTAATGTTGGTTTAAATATTATATATTATGATTTGTGAATAGAGAAAATTAGATTGTTTGAGTTATAATAAATCTTTATATTATATCATTCGAATTAGTAGCTCATTTTTACGTGTATACTTTAATAAATTTTAAACCTCATCTAACATGGAATAAGTAAACATAAAGCAAAGAAAATAATTTAACTTAATAATAAGTTTTTAACAATATTGTATATATATATTGCCATTTTAATATTTTTCTTTCACAACCTGACTACTAATTTATTCATAAAAAAACTAATTATTCCAATCCTATTCATAGATATAAGAAATCTTAAAAGTTATTCCACCCCAATCACATAACTTCCACAACAAATATAACACTATTTTGATTATAAAGTATAAATAAACTAAAAGCATAATCGCATATTAATCTACATATAATATGTTGAAAATAATAGTCATAGCAGCCGGCGGCTGCTTTTGTTTTTAATTATTATTTTTAGTTGAATTATGCAAGGGATAATTACAACATTTAATCATTGTACTTTAGGATATTTATAAGATTAGTCCTTAGGTTTCAACTATAAATACCCTAGCTCATTTAGCTTCAAAACATCCCAAAGCATTCTAGGTCTCTTCTAATACTAGAGAGAATTTAGAGAGTTTCTTGAGAGTTGTTTTCTCTTTTTATCAAGAGAGAATTATCATTGTTTTCTCATTGGTCGATTGAGAGAAGTTGTAATTTCTATTTTCTCATAGTGAAATTCTTCTACCGTTGCCCGTGGTTTTTACCCTATATTATTCAGGGGTTTTCCACGTAAATTTTGTGTCTCTTTTATCTTCATTTTTATTTTCTCAAATTATCAGTTGCGATTTTGCTCTATCTGATAGTCGTCTTCCGCAATAATTGATATCAGAGCCAGATTTGAGTGTGTAATATCTGCTTATTGTCTTTGTGGTTGCCACCAAAAGGTGGATCCTCCAACATAAGAAAGTAAGAAGTTATTACCCATTCTTTGAAGGTTCCAGAGAAATATTCACGATAGTGAAATAGTGGGATCTATCCGTAAAAGAAGCTATGGCAACGAAATTTGATATTGAAAATTCAATGGGAGAAATTTCTCATTGTGAAAATTAAAGATGAAGGCCATCCTCAGGAAAGACGGGTGTCTAGCGGCTATTAATGAAAGGCCGGTGGATTTCACAGATGACAACAAATGGATCGAAATGGATGGGAATGCTATGGCAAACTTTCATCTAGCATTAGCAGATGAAGTATTGTCAAGCATCGATGAGAAGAATACAGCTAAGGAGATATGGATCATCTTACCAAATTGTACGAGGCCACATCGCTGCATAATAAAATTTTCCTTAAGAGAAAATTGTACACTCTCCGTATGCCAGAATCTACTTCAGTGACGGAGCACTTAAATACACTGAACACTTTATTTTCTCAGTTTACACCCTTAAGCTGTAAAATAGGAGAACAAGAACGTGCTGAACTTCTACTTCAAAGTCTACTGATTCGTATGATCAACTCATCATCAACTTGACAAACAGTAATGTCACCAGTCTAGTCTTCGATGACGTTGCAGCTGTTGTTCTACAAGAAGAAAATCGGCGCAAAAACAAGGAAGACAGACAAGTAAATCTGCAACAAGCAGAAGCATTTGCAACGATGAGAGGGAGATCAACAGAACGTGGCCAAAGCAACAGTCACAAACATGGTAGATCGAAGTCGAGGAGCAAGAAGAATTTAAAGTGCTACAACTATGGAAAAAAGGGTCACTTGAAGAAGGATTGTTGGAGTTTAAATAAAAACTCCAATCCACAAGGCAATACCGCAAACACTTCAGATGATGGAGATGCTCTATGATGTGAAGCGTCAACCATCGTGGAAGGCAGAAAAAGATTTGCAGATATATGGCTCATTGATTCGGGAGCAACATATCACATGACCTCAAGAAGAGAATGGTTCCATCATTATGAACCTGTCTCAGGAAGATCTGTCTATAGTTGCAATGATCATGCCTTGGAGATCGTTGGCGTGGGAACCATCAAATTGAAGATGTATGATGGAACAATTAAAGTTGTTCGAGATGTGCGGCACGTGAAAGGCCTAAAGAAAAATTTATTATCCTACGGATTGTTGGATAATAATGCAAGAAAGATTGAAACATGGAAAGGAATCATGAAGGTGTTCCCTGGAGCGCTTGTGGTGCTGAAAGGCGAAAAGATAGCAGCAAACTTGTACATGCTGAAGGGAGAGACATTGCTAGAAGCAGAAGCCTCTGTTGCCTCATGTAGTTCAGATTCTGCAATGCTATGGCATCAGAAACTTGGACACATGTCAGAACAAGGAATGAAAGTCCTTGTGGAGCAAAAGCTACTTCCCGGCTTAACAAAGGTATCACTTTCTTTGTGTGAGCATTTTATAACAAGTAAACACACCGGTTAAAATTCAACACGTCAAATTCTAGAGGCAAAAGGTTCTAGAATTGGTTCACTCTGACGTATGGCAAGCACCAGTTACATCCCTAGGCGGAGCAAAATATTTTGTCTCATTTATTGATGACTACTCTAGGAGATGTTGGGTGTACCCTATTAAGAAGAAGTCAGATGTGTTTTCAACTTTCAAAAAACATCAAAGCGCGGGTGAAACTTGATTCTGGAAATAAGATCAAGTGTTTCAGAATAGATAATGGAGGAGAATACACAAGCGAAGAATTTGATGACTTTTGCAAGAAAGAAGGCATCAAAAGACAGTTCACACTGGCAAACACTCCTCAACAAAATGGAGTGGCAGAACGGATGAACAGAACCTTGTTAGAAAGAATAAGAGCAATGTTGAGGGACGCAGGCCTAAAAAAATCATTTTGGGTAGAAGCAGTCAATACCGCCTGTTATTTGGTGAATTGAGCTCCATCAACTGCAATAGAGCTGAAGAACCAATAGAGATGTGGACTGGTAAACAAGCTGATTATTCAAACCTCAATGTATTTGGAAGTATTGTGTATGTGATGTACAACGCCCAAGAAATTTCAAAGTTGGGTCCAAAATCCAGGAAATGCAAATTCTTGAGGTATGCTGATAGAGTAAAAGGGTATAACTTGTGGGATCTCACTGCCCACAAAGTGATCATTAGTAGGGATGTTATCTTTGTAGAAGATAAGCTACAAAGAAAAAAAGACGATGACAGCGCTGAAAAGACAGAGACTACACAAATACATGTGGAAAAGGAGTTTGAACAAGGATTCTTCTGAAGCAGAACCAGCACATGATGAACAAGAACCAGAGAGTTCTGAAGCCCCAACAACTTGACAATCAGATCATGTGAGAAGACGTCCCAATTGGCACTCAGATTATGTTATAGAAGGAAATGTTGCATACTATCTTTTAACAGAGGACGGTGAGCCATCAACATACCAGGAGGCAATAAACAGCTCAGATGCTTCACTTTGGATGATGACGATGCAAGAAGAAATCGAAGCCCTTAATAAAAATAATATATGGGATATTGTGCCACTACCACAAGGAAGGAAGCCAATTGGTAACAAATGGGTTTTCAAAATCAAGCGAAATGGTGACGATCAAGTGGAGAGGTATCGTACAAGACTGGTGGTCAAAGGATATGCTCAGAAAGAAGGTATTGATTTCAATGAAATTTTTTCTCCTGTGGTTCGACTAACAACAGTTCGAGTAGTCTTGGCAATGTGTGCTACATTGAATTTACATCTGGAACAGCTAGATGTTAAAACAACTTTTCTTCATGGAAATCTTGAAGAAGAGATTTATATGCTCCAGCCTGAAGGTTTTAAAGAAGACGAAAAGAAGAACTTGGTTTGCAGGTTGAACAAATCTCTGTACGGTCTAAAGCAGGCACCGAGGTGTTGGTATAAGAGATTTGATTCCTTCATTATGTGCCTTGGATACAACAGACTTAATGCAGACCCTTGTGCTTATTTCAAGAGGTTTGGTGGATAACGATTTTGTTATATTGCTATTGTATGTGGATGACATGTTGGTTCCAGGACCCAACAAAGATCATATTGAAGAATTGAAGGCACAACTGGCTAGGGAATTTGAAATGAAGGACTTGGGATCGGCAAACAAGATTCTAGGGATGCAAATTCACCGATACAGAAGTAATAGGAAGATTTGGCTTTCACAAAAGAATTACTTGTAGAAAATCTTGTCACGATTTAGCATGCAAGATTGTAAGCCAATTTCTACCCCTCTTCCTA